GAGGCGGGGGGCTCGGGAGCGCAGCGGAGCCAGACACTGCCCAAGCTCGAGCTGCGTGTGAGCTGTAGTTAGTGAATTGGGAAACCAGGGATCGTTATTTGGGCTGCTTTTCTAGATTAAAAGCTTTAAGTGGATTTTTGCATAGACATTTTGGATGGAAAAGAACTTTTCTCTATTTAAAAAAAGAAAAAAGAAAAAGAAAGAGATAAGAGTGAGGAAAAGGGACAAACTGGACCGCACATCCTTGTTCTGCCCCTTGCAGGGGGACAGCAGGGCCGCGGTACGGTCGGCGGGTGCTGGGGCCATGCACTTGCCGCGGCGCCGCACAGCCACCCGCACCCTGAGCGCGCCGCCCCGGCGCGGGGCATCCCGTGGGAACAGTGCGTCCCTCCGTCCCATGGGAACAGCGCATCCATCCAGCCCGTGGGGACAGAGCATCCATCCGTCCTGTGGGAATGGCGCATCCATCCATCCTGCGGGAACGTTGCATTCATCCATCCCGTGGGGATGGCGCATCCATCCACCCCATGGAGACGGCGCATCCATCTGCCCTACGAGGATGGCACATCCATCCAGCCCACAGGAGTGGCGCATCCAGCCCATGGGAACAGGGCAACCATCCATGCCATGGGGATGGTGCATCCATCCTGCAGGGATGGCGCATCCATCCATCCCATGGGGATGGTGCATCCATCCCATGGGGATGGTGCATCCATCCATTCATCCCGCAGGAATGGCACATCCACCCTGTGGGGATGACCCCAGCGGTGCCGCTTGGCCCACACAGGCCGGGCTGGGGCAGCCTTGGCGGGAGCCGCGAACCTGGGGCCATGACGCTGCCTTGGCCAGCACAGGAGACACCCAGAGCTGCAACCCCGGAGCAAGGCCACGAGGAGCCACGTCGCTGCGGCGTCTGGACTCAGGCTGTGAAATACTCCAAAACCAAAACTTTAAAAGATAATAAAATCCTATTATTGTTTTAATTATGTTTATTCCCACAAAAAGCTTAAAACCTGCTTGTGGCTGAGTGCTCCTGGATATGTTTTCTTTCCCGTAAGTATTTGTTGCTGCTGGAGCATCGCTGCAGGCGCAGGGCGGTGCAGGCGTTTGTGCCGTGTCCCCGCGGCCCGGCCCGGCCCGGGCTCGGTGCAGGCGCCGGGCCCGGCG